CAAATATGAAAATAATCTGAAATAGAAACCATCTTAAAAGTCAATTTATCTCAGCAACTTTAGGTTTAACCATTGAGCTTTACTACAAAGCTAGTAAATTAAGAGAACGCAAGAGGAGAGTGGAGCAAAGTTGCTTTTAATCCCCCTGTTTAACATCCATAAATAACAGCTCTAAATAAAAAGAAATAAAACTGGGGATCTGAATAAGACACCTACATAACTTCTTACAACTATTTATGTTTTAAACACGCTTTCATTCTTAAGATTACAGTGAATAGAACTGTCAAAGTCTCCACAGTGAACTATTGTAATTTTAGTCCTGGCTGCCACTCCACTGTAGGAATAGGGTAAACCTAGGGTAGGGGAGACACTATAAAGATCCATGATTTTCTGCAGAACTTAAATCTCAAACCTCACAGGAATTTTTCTTACGGTTATAAAAGCTAAAACAACTCTGCACAGATTAGGCTTGTTACAACAATATTAAAAAGAGGTGAAAATATTTTAGCAGGAAATGCAATTCTGACAGCACACTCACACAAGCACATTTTAAAACAAGGCAGCACGCAATACAGAGAGCAAGCCAAAGCTGCACAAGTACATCAAGATGAGAAGCAGCCACAGGTTCAAGTAAGGATGTTTAATTTCTCTCCCTGATTTGACGACATTTATACACAGGTGCCAACCACTGCAACGCCAACAACTACAAGAAACCAGAAAACAAATGACATGTAAGTCTAAAAAGTAATGCCAAGGTCCAAAATCCAGGAGAAATTAATGTTGGTTACATTTCAGTGGGCAAAAATAGTATTTTATTTAAGCCCGTATTTGTTCATATTCTATCTGGACTCTTCACTGTCTAAATGCAGGTCCCTGGTATCACTTAGGGTCTGCAGTAAGTCAGGCAAGAGTCCTCGCTTAATTTAGAATATTACTCAAAGCATATTTGGGATATTAAATTTGCTACTACATGTTCATGTAGAATACAAAAGAATATACAATACCAACACAGGGTAGAATCATATAAAAGGTCAGGTAACTCTAGATTGGTTTACTTAATTTCAACCTATAAACACAATAGGAACTAAAGTAGTCACTTGTTCACATTAATATTTTGATTTAAGTGGCATCCAAGTTTGGGACACTTACGTACAGTCAGAACAACCACAGCAATGTGCCCTCCATCTGAGAAAAAATAAAACCAATTTGAAGGTAATTGAGCACAGGTTGGTCTCCACATACTTGACACACTTTAATTTTGATCAGATTATCTATAAACTACAGCAAAGAAAAGTTTATCAGTCTAGTTTATTGTGACTGCTAGTGCATCCAGCTCATTTTGATTCCAAAGCCTTCTCATATGATTTCAGGCTTAGGGTCCAATTTCTGAAACTCATAATAGGGACCTCACTTGTCATTGTTTTGAGCTATAGTAACTCCACCAGGTTATAAAAATTGGAATTATTATAAGTTAGGAAAAATTATTATAAAAATTACAATTTCCTACATTAGAGGAAAATCATCTTAAGAATGTATTATCTCGTTCTAGTTGCCTTAGTTCAGTATTCAGTCCATCATTCTTATGATTTTGTTAGAAATTTCATTTACATTGTTCCCCAAAAGTGAGTCTGTGGAATAAGCCATGAATGAAGTTCTATTAATTGATTAGTTAAACAGACTTTGCAGGCTTCTCAAACTACACATCATCTTAAAAATCCTTCCTCATTCACCTCCACACCCAAGTTAAGACACAAATCTTAATTAACAAGAACATTATAAGAATACCAACGAAACACCAGGGCACAAGGATAAATTATGCATAGAAACTTGAACATGCATTTTTGACTGTCCAGAGAGCAGTGCTGCCCCCCCTGCCCGTCCATTAGTCTCAGGCCCAGCGAGGAAGGGCCCCCTGAGGATGAGCAAGAAGGAGACAAGAGCCAGCCCTGTGAGGCCTGTGGGTCTTCCTGGGGCCTGACCCCACCTGGGAGAGCATGGGCTGGCCCGGGGACGGGGAGGGGAGGGTGCCGGCCTTATACTTGTAGTATAAGTAATACTATAAGATCTTAAATCTTAGAAATGCTGTTCAGTAGTATCTCTGCTTCTACACTGCCATTATTTTTCTTACATTCTTCTAGGTCAAAGCATAGAATGTCTTGTTTACCTCTGCTCTTTTTATTTCATTTTTAAAAATCAGGTGTTTAGCGAATTTAAATGGATTTGGATTTATTGGCACAATGACCCTTGACAACAGTGATCACAGGGAAAGTAAGGGGCCTAAAGTCCATTGTATAAAAAAGACTAACCTTACTGAACTAGTCTAATGTAAAGAAAAGTAATACATATTTTTCCTCATTTATTCAACAAAAACCCTAATATTTCATGTAACTGCCTCAACCATACTTTATCTTTTCTTTTAACATATATTGTGTGAACTACATGAGCCTAAATAAAGTGTGATACACCTGCCAGTTGTAGAAAAAACTAACCCAATTTACAGTATGTTAAATGCTTGTGTATCCAAGGTATGAATAAAAAGAAAATTTATTTATAAATTGCCATTACAAAATAGCACTATCACATGGAAAGCAAGTTAGGTTTTATATATTTCAACCTACAAATAAACACAGCGATTGAGAAAGTTCCCTCCGCTACTAAGAATTTGAACTGGAGGAACCTCTTTAAAACCGTATTATCTGCATGTGTCTACACATACTACTGCTTCCATTTGCCATGGTATCTGCACATAAAATAAATGCAAATGTCAATTATCACATGACAGGTTGTTTCTTCTCTAACTGCAGATAATTGAAATATGATATTTCCATGGAAAACACTATGGTCTCAGAATGGAGGGTTATTTATAACCAAAATAATACCTAAGTCATCAGCACTACTTGGTGGTTTATCACTGGGTGTGGAACCTCCTAAAAGAAAAAAAAAAGATATAATTTTAAAAAGAAGTAAAATATAGTAAAGCTTACAGACTCCTAAATTCCTAAGTTTGGATTGTTTATCTCTTTACAAAATTTCTTATCACTTACTTCCCTTATATAAATAATGTTAATGTTTCTCATTTAAAGCATTATAAAAAGTTATAGCCCTAGTTGGTTTGGCTCAGTGGATAGAGTATCGGCCTGCAGACTGAAGGGTCCTGGGTTTGATTCTGGTCAAGGGTACATGCCCTGGTTGCAGGCTCTATCCCCATTATGAGGCAGCTGATCAATGCTTCTCTCTCATCAATGATGTTTCTATCTCTCTCTCCCTCTCCCTTTCTCTTTGAAATCAATAAATGTATGTTTTTAAAAATTGTAAATTTATAGTCATCAGCATTCTTCTTCCTCTCCAGGAACATTTCCTGTGACAATATTCTGTGCTACAGCATGCAAATATATCAGTAGTGTATCCTCAATATTAGCCTATGGATTCAATGTGATTCTACTTACATTTAAAATATACAGGAGAGCTTAATAAATGATTTGAAGGTTATTCCGTAATGCTGAGAAATTTCAACATAATGAGGTCCATTTATGAAATACTCATAGGTAACATCATACTGCATTGTGAAAGACTGAAAGTTTTTCCCTTAAGATCAGGAACAAGACAGGATGACCATGTTTGACATTTCTATTTAACATAATATCAAAAGTTATAATCAGAGCAATTCAGCAAGAAAAGAAAGCATCCACCTTGGGAAGGAAGAAATAAAATCACCTCTGCCCTAGACGACATGTTTATGTAAGTAGAAAACTGTAGAGATTGCACACATACACATGCACCCGCTCACCTGTTGGAGCTGATAAATAAATGTGGCAAAGTTGCAGTCTATGAAATCAACAAGTAAAAATCAGTTGCATTTGTATATACTAACAATGAGCAAACCAAACAGGAAATGAAGAAAACAATTCTATTTACAATAGCATCAATAAAAGTAAAACACTGTGCTGACCGGTGGCTCAGTTGGAGTGTAGAGTCATACACCAAAAGGACAGGGCTCATTCCTGGTCACTGCACATAATGTAGGTCTCGGGTTTGATCCTACAGGAGACAGCCAATACATGTTTCTCTCTCTCTCTCTCTCTCTCTCTCTCTCTCTCTCTCTCCCTCCCTCCCTCTCTCCCTCCAACCCCTTCCCATCTCCTTCAAATCAATAAGCATATCCTTGGTTGAGGATGAAATAGAAATAAAATATTTAAAAAGAAACTCTCTCTCTCTCTCTCTCTCTCTCCCTCCCTCCCTCTCTCCCTCCAACCCCTTCCCATCTCCTTCTCAAATCAATGCATATCCTTGGTTGAGGATGAAATAGAAATAAAATATTTAAAAAGAAACTTAACCGAGGAGGTGAAAGACACTTACACTGGAAACTACGAAACACTGCTGAAAGAAAAAGATGACATAAATAAATGAAAAGACATCCTGTGTTCATGCATTGGGAGACACGATATGGTTAAGATGTTGATATTACACAAAGCAACCTACAGATAACATGCAATCCCTATCACCATCTTGAATATGCATTTTGCGGAAATAGAAAAATCCAACATATAATTCAGATGGAACCTCAAGGGACTAGGAATAGCCAGGATAATCTTGAAATGCAAAAGTTGAGAGAACTCACACTTTCTGAGTTTAAAACTTACTCAAAAGCTACAATAATCAAAACACAGTGCTACAGGCATAAATACAGACAGACCAATGCCATAGAATACAGAGCCCACAAATAAACCTTTCCATATGTGGTCAAATGGTTGTATGGAAGGGTGCTAAAAACACTTATGTGGGAAGGGCAATCTTTTCAACAAATGCTTCTTTGAAAACTGAATATCTACATACAAAAGAATGAGGTTGGATCCTTATCTTACATCATATACAAAAATGAACTCAAAGTGGATCAAAGAACTAAAACTATAAAACTCATAGAAAGAAACACAGAGGACAAGCTTCATGATATTGGATCTGACTATGATTTTTGGGTGTGTCACCAAGAGCAAAGACAAGAACAACAACAAAATAGATAAATTGGATGGACTAAAGCAAAGTTAAAAACTTTTCTCAATGGTCATTTTAAATAGAGTGAAAAGGCAACCCATAGATAGGAGGAAACATCTGCAAATAATACACCTGATAAGGGATCAATACCCAAAACACATAATGAACTCCTATATTTAGTGACAGAAAAAAACCCCAAATCAAAGTGTACAAAGAACTTGCAGAAACATTTCCCCAGAGGAGATACACAAAACACCAATAAGCACATGAAAATATGATCACTAGTTATTAGAAAATGAAAATAAAGCCACAATGAGACATTACTTTATATACATTAGGAAGCCTAGTATATAAAAACACACACAACCATTGGTAAAGCGGTGGAGAAATTGGAATCTTCTTGGGTCACTGGCAGGAGTGTAAATGGGGCAGCTGCCATGGAAGACAGTGTGGCTGCTCCCCAAATCGAAAACAGGCCTCAAACAGTTACTCAAATGTCAATTTTCAGAAAAGCATATTCAGAATAGCCAAAAGCTGGAAATACTATCATTTGTCTATTATCAGGTGAATGGATTTTACAAAAGGTGGTGTATACAAATAATAGGATATTACTGAACCATAAAACGGAATAAAGTTCTGATACATGCTAGAAAATAGATGAAACTTGAAAATGTTATACTAAGTGAAGTAAGCCAGAACACATTTTACGAAGTGAAATAATCCAGAGTGATTCCACTTCTATGTTTTAGTTTGAGATGAAAAGGTTTCGGATATGTAGAAGTGATGGTTGCACAATAATGTGAATGTACTTAATGCCACTGAAATGTACATTTGAAATGGTTAGAATAGTAAAAATCAAATCAAAGTTGATCTACAAAAAAATTAGCATAGAGAGTGGCTTGAACATTTCTGAAAAGGAAGTGTTCTGCCAGATATTAAGACATATCATTGAACTACAATGAAAAATGAATTTTTTTGTTGGGACAAGCATGGACAGAGTTCAAGGGAACAGAGAGACAACTAGAACACCTATGAGTTTACTGTAAGATAAAAACTGGCGCTTTGAATAGTTGGAGAGAAGACAATAAATCTATGTACCAAGTTCAGATGTAACAGTGATTTAGATGCAAAGAATGCAGTGAGGACATACGGCTGGAATTTTTATATAATTTCAGCATGGCAAAGACCTACAGTTTTTATAATAAAGACACAACACACATAGCCATTGGAGGAAAACATTAATACACCCGACTACCTAACAATGTCAACTTCTGCACATATAAATGGCCACTGATAGGAAAATAGTTAAATAAATATGGTATATATTAACATCATCATTAAAAGGACTGGAATAAATCTAAATATAACCCCAAATGAGACAGTAAATATAAAATGTGAGAGTTTAAAAAAAATATGCATAGCATGAGTCCAATTCTGGTTTACAACAACAAAAACACACTAAAATATGTAGTATAGCCCTAACCAGTTTGGCTCAGTGGATAGAGCATCAGCCTGCGGACTCAAGGGTCCCAGGTTTGATTCTGGTCAAGGGCATGTACCTTGGTTGCGGGCACATCCCCAGTAGGGAGTGTGCCGGAGGCAGCTGATCGATGTTTCTCTCTCATCGATGTTTCTAACTCTCTATCCCTCTCCCTTCCTCTCTGTAAAAAAATAAATAAAATATACATATTTTTAAAAATGTAGTATATCTCTGCACATAAGGATATTATTTTAAAGAAACAGATAAAAAGACAACTAAACTACTAAGTTATTAACTTTGGAAATGAAGTAGAAAAACATAAAGAGACTATTCTTTTGCTCTGTATAGTTTTTGTAATATTTGAAATTTTACAAACTTATATTTGTATACTACTTATATAAGTTAAAGTTATAAAAAGCTATCTATAGCCAATCCATATAAAATCTTAGAAGAAAATTGAACCCAGCCAGTGTGGCTTAGTGGTGAAGAGTCAACCAATGAACAAAGATTCCCTGTCAAGATTTGATTCCCTGTCAGGAAACATGCACTGGTGTGGGCTGCATCTCCAATAGGGGGCGTGCAAGAGGCAGCTGATCAATGATTCTCTCTCATCATTGATACATCTGTTCCTGTCTCCCTCTCCCTTCCTCTCTGAAATCAATAAAAATATATTTTAAAAATATATAAACAGAGAGTTACTAAACCTAAGACACTGGAAATTGTAGGTTGTTGTACTGAGAGGTGTTGACAATGAAAAAAATGAATGTGGGATCAACCACTTGGTAATTACTACTTTTTTTCATTTATGTGAATTATGCCTTTAGATCTTGACTTTTTAAGGAAAAATTCCCCGGCTTCAATTAGCTCTGGAAATGATTGCTATACATTTTTACACATAAGAAATGCCAAAACCCAGAAATTTAGACACCTGTGATGTCCATAATGTGTTAAATTTTATGTCACACTTCTGTCATGGAAATGAATATGAGACAGAGTTAATTACAAACCTGTCTCTTTTAAGTCATTCCATATCGTTGATATTTAATGTCAAAGAAATAAAATTTAAAAAAAAATAAAAAGACACCCTTTGTACCTTTAATACATTTTGGGATCTTAGGGCCCCAAGTACTGTCAGCTCCACAGACAATGGTGCTACTGCCTTCAAGGTAAAATCCCTTCAGGCATTCGAATTTAATCTCTGCTTTGAACAGAAATGTTTTTCCAAATCCGGACACTAATCTCCCATTCTCCAGTATTGGATATTCACATTTAACCACTGAAAAATAAAGAAATTCCAGAATTAATGGAAAGTGTTTTAACAGGGGGAAGAAAAACTAGTGTAAATTAGTAATTTCCCCTAGGAACAAAGAGGCAAGGAATGAAAGGCAGAATGTTAATTATGTTTTAAAAGACTTTACTTGTGCATTTTAATTCCAGGTAAACAGACATAGAGACATCTAATAACCTTCCAACCTAGAACAGACTGTCATTATAGATTACTAAAAGCCTGGTGCACGAAAATTCGTACACTGTGGGGGGGGGGTATCCCTCAGCCTGGCCTGCGCCCTCTCACAGACCAGGAGCCCTCGGGGGGATGTCCGACTGACAGCTTAGGCCTGATTCCTGTGGGAAGCAACCAGCAGGGCGATGGGAGGGAGGGGGAGGACGGCACTGGCCAGTGAGCGGCCACCCCGCCCCCCATCGCCCCTCCGCCACTGCTGGTTGTTGTTGTCCCCACCGCATCACCATCCCCTCCCTCTGCCTGCTGGCACCTGCCTTGGCTGGCCTAGCACCACCAGCTCGCCAGCCCCGCCCCCTGCCAACCAGTGGTTCCGCTGTTTGGTCGATTTGCATATTAGGCTTTTATTATATAGGATTGGTTTCTGATAAGTTTTCCATTACTGACAAGTTTTGAGAAAGGTCTGATTACTACATACAATTTTCAGGTAAGTTCAAAAGCAACTTTTGATGCTATTTAGTTCTAGGAATTTTTTTAAATTTCATGCTACCACTGATTTAGTACCCTGATCTTTTAGAAAAGCAGGAAAGGCTCTTGTAATAAGGTAATACTTAAGCTTAAAGGTAAGAAGTTGCAAAGAAGCTAGCCATGCAAACATATGCAAAGAGAAAGTTATCAGGTATCAACAACATGCAAGAATTTGGATGTGCAAGAAATAGAAAGGCCAGTGGAATTAGGACAGTGTTTCCAAATATTTTGGACTGGAATTCAGAGATCAAACCCCATATTTTATATTGTAGTACCATTGTAAATAGTACTTTGAAATTTTAAATTTCTAATTGTTTATCATCCCATTGATTTCTATACATTGAGTTTGTGTCTTATAACCTTGGTAAGGCTTCAGTCTTTCATATATTCCACACAGACAATCATGTCATAATTGAACAAAGTCTACTTTATTTCTTCCTTTCCAATATGGATGCCTATTTCTATATGTTGCCTTATTGTACTGAATAGGACCTTCAATATAATGATGAATAGAATGGGAGGGGTACACATCCCTGCCTCATTCCTACCTCAATGGGAAATAATGCTTTATCATTAAGTGTAAAGCTAGCTGTGTGATTCTTGTAGATACCCTTTATCAGGCTGAGAGAGTGAGGTTCCTTCTGCTCCTAGTTTGCAAAGAAGTTTTCTGTCAAATGCGTTTTCTTTGCATCTATTAAGATGATCATGTGTTTTTTCTTCTTTATAGTCTCTTCGTATGGTAAATTACACTGATTAATTTTTTGAGTTTGAAATAACCTTGTCTTCATGAAACAAATCCTACTTGATTATGATATAATATCCTTATTTTTACAATGTGACAGGATTAATATTATAAATATTGATATTATAAATGTTAATATTTGTTTAATAGTTTTGTTAGAGTAGGCAACTAGAAAGTTATGAGCTGGGAAAGGCAGTTGGGGTTGGAAGGGATACATGTGAGAGGTGACAAACCAAAAATCTACACGGAGGCATCAGACTCCTGTGTGAGGAGAGAAAATGTAGAGCCCCTCCAGGCTGAGGTCTAACTGGTGGCATAACACCTGGGTGCAGGAGCCTTAGAGTTTGAAGATATGTTTTCATGAGTCATGAGGAGGGGGTGACTTGCTCCTTGCTAGGGGCCTTCCAACCTAGGGTATAAATCCCCTGAACTCCCAAATATCAGGGCACCCGGTTTGGTGTCAGCCTGCTGAGTTGCCCGCTCAGGTTCTGAGTGTAGATCCTTTCTCTGCAAGTAAATTCTCCCCTGCTTTTGCTGCTATTTGTTGTCTCTTGTTTGAATTCATTCCTGTGAGCAAGACAAGAACTGGGGGTGCAGAGTGCTGTCTCTGGCCAGAGGCTATCTCCGGGCAGAGGTGACCTTGACCAACGCTGACCGTTTTGGTTCTATGTTCACAGTGGATATTGTTTTTCATTTTCCTGCCATGTTTTGTCGGGTTTTGGTATCGGGATAATGCTGTCCTCATGGGATGAGGTGACAAGTATTCCCTCCGATTGTATGTTTTTGAAGAGTTTGTGTAGAGCTGCTATTGTTAATCCTTAAATGTTGGTACAATTCCTAGTGATGATATGGGGCCTGCAGTTCTCTTTGTGAGAAGGTTCAAGTGTCAAATTTCTTGGCATAAAGTTGTGCATGCTGTTCCCTTACTGGCCTTTAAATGTCTGCGGGATATTGAGTGATGATCCCCTTTCCATTCTTGATATTGTGAATTTGTGTCTTCTACTTTTTTTGTCACACTGGCTATAGGTTTATACACACTATATTGATCTTCTCCAAGAACCAGGTGTTGGTTTCAATGATTCTCTCTATATATTTTTTTCAGTTTTATTGATTTCTATCCTTATTATTTCTTTCTGCTTTCTTGGTCTGTATTCAACTTCCTCTTCCTTTTTAGTGCCTTAAAGTGAAAGATTGGATTCGTGATGTGAAACTATTTTCTTGTTTAATACATGCATTTCATGCTATGAACATCCCTCTAAGCCAGTGGTTCTCAACCTTCTGGCCCTTTAAATACAGTTCCTCATGTTGTGACCCAACCATAAAATTATGTTCGTTGCTACTTCATAACTGTAATGTTGCTATTGTTATGAATCGTAATGTAAATATCTGATATGCAGGATGGTCTTAGGCAGCCCCTGTGAAAGGGTCATTGGACTGCCAAAGGGGTCGCGACCCACAGGTTGAGAACCACTGCTCTAAGCAATGCTTTTGCTGTATTCCACAAATTTTATTATTTTGATATATTTTCATTTTTATTCAATTCAAAACATATTCTAATTTCCCTTGTAATTCCTTCTTTTATTCATGGTTAAGTTGGAAGTGTCTTCATCATCTAATCTAATAAAAGAGAAACATGCAAATTGCCGCACCTCCGCTATGCCCCAAGCCACGCCAACCAGCCAATCAGAGCAACTATATGCAAATTAACCCAACCAAGACGGCAGCAGGAAGCCACAGAGCTGGAGCAAGCAGGAGGCTTGGTTGCCCTGGCGATGGAGGAAGCCAAGCTTCCCGCCTGCCCTGGCCAGCTGTGGGTTCCGCTCAAGGCAACAAAGTATCAATTATAGAAGATAAATAAATCCCAGATACCTGCTTCCAGCCAGCCTCCACTGGGAGGTTGGGTGGCTGGGGGCCATGTCTAGCCTGCAAACAGACATCAGCCCCTCACCCAGGCTGGCAAGGCACCCCAGCAGGACCCCCCACCCTGAAGGGTGTGTGGACAGCCTGAAAATAGCCCTCAGTCCCTCACTCAGGCTGGCCAGGCACCCCAGGGGGCACCCCTACCCTGAAGGGGCTGTGGACAACATGCAAACAGCCATCAGCCCCTCACCCAGGCTGGCCAGGCACTCCAGTGGGGACCCCCACCCTGAAGGGGCTGTGGCCAACCTGCAAACAGCCTTCAGCTCCTCACCTAGGCTGGCCACACCCTCATGGGGTGAGGGTCCCCGCTGGTGGGCTTGGCCAGCCTGCAAACAGCCATCAGCCCCTAACCCAGGCTGGCCAGGCACGCCAGGGGGGACCCCTACCCTGAAGGGGCTGTGGCCAGCCTGCAAACAGCCATCAGCCCCTCACCCAGGCTGGCCA